AACAGTAACTGGCCTTTGACTGTCCTGGGACTGTCCCATTAGTGCTGGCTCTGATGGCAAATGGCATCCTGGAGAGGAATCTGGAGCTGCTCTGTGGGTGGGTCATGCCTCTTGTGCTGGCCTGAAGAGTGGGGTTGGCCCTGCGGGGCACAGAAACCCTGTGCTGGGGATCTCCCAGGCATGAGACAAGAGGTCCTGAAGCTTCATGGACCTCCTTATCCTGTGCAGTGGCTGGTGGAAACCAAAGCAATCCAAGCCTTACGGAGTCCTGATGCTGTGCCAGTATTGCTCAGCAATAGACAAAACACTGGTGTGATACCAATGCTGTACATGTATGACCAATGCTCGAAATGACCATTTCTGATGGAGATCAATCCCAAGAGCCCCCAGCTTGTCTGTGACGGAGTTTGTTGTGCTGGGCTGGGCTGCTGTTACAGGGACAAAGACTACTACTGGCAGTAGGGGTACCCTGGGAAATCCACCTGGCTCAATCTGAAGCCCCAAGGGGCTCTGGTCTCCTGCAGGTCCTCTCTGACATCGGCCAGTCCAGGAAAGTTCCTCAGATTCAGCGAGGTATCTAGAGGTGGAACTGGTTGCTTATGGTCAGACAGCAAAGCTTTGCCCAAAATCCTGTGCATTCCTTCAGTATTTAAGAAATAGAGCACCTAATCGTCATCACTTGAAGGGATTTGGGTGAATCCTTTCCACAAAGTATCCCACAATAAGTTGAATTTCTGTTGTCACAAAATGAGAATTTCCAGGAGGTATATTCACTACAGGAAAAGAAATACCGTTCTTCTCCTGCACTTGCACTACTCTGTTGATTCTGATGTACATTTAATAGCCATAATCTTCCACTGGTCCTGATTAAACTGACAGTGTTGGGAGTTCCCTTTCCAGCTCTCTGTCTGGTCCTATGCACTTCCCATTGGTCTCCAGATTTTCCCACCGCAAACCTTTGATCATTCTGATCCCTCTAACCTACCCAGTTAGCCTCTGACCATCAGGGAGTTCAAATTTGACCATGTTTAACAATTTTATGTAATCATGTCCTTAGGCAGCTCCTCAACTCTTTTTCTATTTAGCATTTCCAATCTAGCTGTATAAAATATTTTATCTTGAAATAAAATAAAATAAAATAAAATAAAATAAAATAAAATAAAATAAAATAAAATAAATCTAATTTCTTGTCCATCTAATTTCTACTTCTTCCTTTTGGAATGTGAAGTTGCCTGGAGGCAGCCTGGACTGGGCACACAGCTGAGGAGTTTGTTCTATTTTTCAGCAAATTGTAATGTGGTTTACAGCTGTTTGTTTCAAAAAAATAAAATAAAATAAAATAAAATAAAATAAAATAAAATAAAATAAAATAAAATAAAATAAAATAAAATAAAATAAAATAAAATAAAATAAAATAAAATAAAATGTCAACAATAATAATAATAATAATAACAATAATAATAAAACTTTATGTGCCTCTGTGCAGCCTAAGGTGGGAACTGGTGCAATGGACATTTATGTCCAACTGTTGATTTCAGTGGAGAATCTATGTGTTGGGTCTGTCTGAGCTGGAGTCACCTTTCCCTGCAGCAGCCCGCACAGTGCTGTGCTCTGCACTCGTAGCTGGAACAGCACTGGTATCACTCCAGTGTTGTGTCTATTGCTGCATAGCACTGGCACAGCATCAGGACTCCTTCCAAGCCCCCAGGAGCCAGCAGGCTGGAGGTGGGCAAGTGATGGGGAGGGGACATTGCCGGGGCAGCTGACCTAAACCAACCAAAGGGATATTCCATAACACCTGATGTCACATTCAGCAATAAAAGGCGGGACTCTCGTGGGGACAGGCTGTTCCTCCTGAACAACCACTACGTGTTTTGAGGCTCTGCTTCCCAGGACGTGGCTGAACATTGCTTGTTGATGGGAAGTAGAGAATTTTTTTTTTTTTCCCTCTCTCTATTCTTCTGCTCGGACTGATTGTTTCTTTTGTTTCTTTTTTCCTCCCTATTCCCTTTCCCTTTAATTAAACCTTTCTCATCTCAAGCCTTGAGTTCTCTGTGTTGTATTTTATCCCCTTCCTCTTTGAGGAGAGGGGGAGTGAGAGAGTGGTTGTGGTGGAGCTCGGCTGCCCACCTGAGTAAAACCACCACAATCTGGTGTAAGGAAAAGCAATGAAATCCTCAGCTGAACAGTGGGAGAAGTGCAAGAGCCAAGAGGTGAGGAATGAGGTTGTCCATGCAGTGTCCAGCCTCAAGAGACTGCTTTTCCTACCTTCCCACACCTTATTAGGAAAAAACCTGGATCCACATCAGTTGGGGAATGCTGCTATCACTATTTCCCTGACTTCAAGACCATATAAAAATAGCTGTAAATATGAAAAATCTTTCTTTATCCTTCTTGATGTCTTCCTCTTTAACTACATTTCTCATAGTTCTCTAACTAGCTGTATAAGTCTTGAGGAAATGGTCAGAACAGACATGGGTTGCTAGGGTTTTCAGCATTTTAGTGTCCCCATTGTGTATTTGGTGCTCAGGTACCTCAGGTACTGCAAGGAGACAGAAGAAATCTCTCCGGCAGCTAAAGTCAGAAGCAAACATCAAAGTTTCTTGGAGCATTAAATCGGCCTCACTGAGGGTTATTACTGTGAAAGTCTCCCAATGGAATTACTAGAGAAGTTAATTTGAGGCCATGATTATAGATTGGTTAAGAGTACTAAGATTTCATCTGAGTGACCTCTGACCCCTTTGAGGGACATTTCTTCCTCCTCTAACCCAGTGTCCACTTTCCAAGTTGTACTTTGTGACAGCTGATTTTTTTCCTGCTGTTTCATACTAATGACCAAAGCTCAGCCATCTCAGAAACCACTCCTCAAGCAGGACTTCCAACCCAGCATCCTTCCTGTGGTTTATCAGCTGACCAGACACAGTTGCCTCACCATCATCGCTCAAGCCATGGGCTTGCTGCTGGCTTCAAACTCCTCAGATAGACATGACCAAGTTGTGTGCCTCCTACTTTCTGTTCCTATTGCAGTAGGGACAGAGAAATGCATGTCCAGGTCTTCTTCCTGGATAGGGGTTAGAAGCAGGGTTTGGTAATTTGCTTATGGTGTCAGGACAGAGTTTAGCATACGGTCAAGCTCTGTGAGATAGGGTTATTTTTAGGGCTGACCTGTGGGCAAGGTTTAATTAAAGCACTTTTATCTAAGTGATAAAGACAGGGATTAGGGTGAGCAAGAAGTTAATGGTAAGGGCTTATGGGTTTGAGCTTTGGCTTCAAGGGAAGTTCTGAGTTTAAAAGTAGTATATTACAGTTACGGTGAGGAGTAAGAGGGGTTAGAAACAAGGTAGGAACAGGAACGTTTTCAAAGTCAGTATTGTAGCAGCATCAACCCTCAGACTTCTTAAAAATTGTTAGTTTTTGTTGGCCAAGCCCTTCTTCCTTCCCCCAAAACCATACACCTCTCCTGTACAAGCTTCTCCTGACTTCCCCATGTCAGTCAACTTCTTAGGGGCAGCTTTCTGATGGCTTTCCTGATCTCAGAGGATCTGTCTTACCTCTGATGGCTACTCTACATCTGAGACAGAAGTGGCATTGTAGTCACGAGGGCAAAGGGCACAAAGGTCTGTAGGAGCACCCTGCATATCATGCCTAGCAGCTCTGCACCACCACAAAAGTTTGCTTCGTACCCACCAGCTTTGGATCTAGAATGGCTCCTATGGCTCCTGGATAACTGTTCACAGGCCTTCATGGAGGCTGCAGCTATCCCTGGGCATCTTGTAGGCAGTGGCCACCCCTGCATGGAAAACTGAAGGAAGCCCTATTTTTTAGGAAAAAGCTGACACCTCTGACATGACACCCCTTGTTCAAGACCTGTTCCAGTCTGGGGACTCCTGGGTACTGCCAGCTGGTAGTCGAGGGATGACCTGTCAGCTATTTCAGAAAGAGCTCGACTCACAATCTGCTTTACAGACATTCACTAAGGACTGGGTAAGGAATTTCTGAGGCACCTCTGAACTCATAATACCACGCCTACAGAACTCCCCTTTTATGGCCCAGGAACTGCCCAGGTACATGTGAGCAGGTTGTGATCCTTCAAGCCCATGGCACTGTTGCTAGACTCCCAGCCTCTCTGACACACACGAGCCAATTACTTGCAGTCCTGTGAGGTGCTGTCAGCCATCAGCCCCATCGTGTGCTGTAGAGCCCCAGTGCCTGGGAATTGGGAACATTGATAAACTCAAGGGCACTAACAACTAACAGGGAACATCTGAATCAGCCCGAAATCCATAAAAATCCATGCTGAGTCTCTGCTCTCAACACACCGAGAACCTGTGGAAAGAAGGAAAGCATCATGCCCCTTTGGAGCCTCTTCCTGGGGCTTGATCTTGACAGCAGCTTTGCAGGAAGGTCTCAGCCTTCAGGCAGTGCCCGGAGGAGATCCCCCCTTAGGAGAGAAGTGCTGCAGTGGAGGCCAGCTGTGTCACTGCCGTGCCCACGGCCTGTCCCTGCCTGCAGTCCCAGCACATCCCCACAGCAGCGCTGGCACCAAGCTCCAGGAGCAGCCGGGCCTGAGCCCACCTGCAGGGCTCAGCAGGAGAGAGTGGGATGGTCAGAAGAGTAGCTCTGCATGCCCCAAGCGCTGGTGCTCCCTGGCCGTGCTGCTGGGATGGGACTCTTTTCCTCTGCAGCCCTGCACACGGGCACTGCCCCTGCAGAGCCAGGCCTGGTCTCAGAGGAAGGATGTCAGAATAACATGGCAGTACAGGCTCCTTCCTTAAGTTCACAGATAGACGGGCTCTTTTTGTATAGTCGCTGAGCTAGACTTTAAAAATACATACTTAGGTGGAATTGGGATGAATAATATCATTTTAGTGGGTAACATTAACTGAACTAAAACTAAGGAAATCGAGTAATAAAATTGCAAACAAGCAAAAAGAAACAGACTATAGGCCGTTCCTATAACAAGTAACATTATGACTCATCTGCATAGGCAGACTGACCACTTATTCTCCTGCAACACGTCTAAACATCAATTTCCACAAAGCTTCCTTGAGCTCCTGATTCCTCATACTGTAGACGAGAGGATTCAATACTGGAGGCACCATCGAATATAGAACTGCCATCACCAGGTCCAAGGATGGCGAGGAGATGGAGGGGGGCTTCAGGTAGGTAAACAGGACAGTGCTGACAAACAGAGAGACCACGGCCAGGTGAGGGAGGCACGTGGAAAAGGCTTTGTGCCGGCCCTGTTCAGAAGGTATCCTCAGCACTGCCCTGAAGATCTGCACATAGGACATCACAATGAAAATAAAACAACCAAATGTTAAAGTCAAACTAAAAAGAAGTGCACCCACTTTCCTGAGGTAGGCCTCTGAGCAGGAGAGCTTGAGGATCTGGGGGATCTCACAGAAGAACTGGTCCACAGCATTGCCTCGGCAGAGGGGCAGGGAAAATGTGTTGTCTGTGTGCAGAGCAGCATTGAGAAAGCCACTGCCCCAGGCAGCTGCTGCCATCTGGGCACAAGCTCTGCTGCACAGGAGGCTCCCGTAGTGCAGGGGCTTGCAGATGGCAACATAGCGGTCATAGGCCATGACGGTGAGAATGCAATACTCTGCTGTGATAAAGAAGACAAAGAGAAAGACCTGAGCAGCACATCCTTGATAGGAGATGGCCCTGGTGTCCCAGAGGGCATTGGCCATGGCTTTGGGCAGAGTGGTGGAGATGCAGCCCAGGTCGAGGAGGGCGAGGTTGAGGAGGAAGAAGTACATGGGGGTGTGCAGTCGGTGGTGGCAGGCTACGGCAGTGAGGATGAGGCCGTTGCCCAGGAGGGCAGCCAGGTAGATGCCCAGGAAGAGCGCGAAGTGCAGGAGCTGCAGCTCGCGCGTGTCTGCGAATGCCAGCAGGAGGAACTCACTCACTGAGCTGATGTTGGGCATTTGCTTACTTTGGTCAAGGAGACTGCGAAATGAGAAACAAAACATATATAGAGAGTGAGACGGTGTGTTATGAGTAATGACTGTGAGTAAAAATCAGTTAATCCCCAATTAAAGTCTTACATTCCCTCTTTCTAAGAGGATCTTTGTGTCTCTCCCTGTCTGGAGCCCTGCTTTCTGCTTGCTGAGTGTCCTGTACACTGCAGCATCCTCTGCCCAGCAGCTCCCAGTGAGCCTGCTCTGCTCCATTCGAGGTTCCAAGAGGGAAGGTTCCTGGGCAGTGGCTCCCTGTGCTGAGTGAGGGGTGTTTGGCTGTGTGCCTCTGTGTGCATCTTCCCTGTTCAATACCCAGGAGACAAAACCAGAAGGTGGATTGTGCGTGTCTGGCCGGAGAACAGGGAGCATCTCCTCCTGCTTCACCCTCCGTGCACAGCACTCCCTGTCAGAATCAGGCAGCACTAGCTGCCACTCTGGGCAAGGGAGAGAAGCAGGCATGGGCATGCAAGGCGGACCCAACCCAGTGCAGAGGCTGTGGTGTCGGTGAGGTAGCGCCTGTCCTCACAGCCCTGTGCCATCTGCCCTGCACAGACAGCAGAGGGACAAGAGCTCTGGAGTTTAAGAAGCTTTTGGAATGTGCTCCTGGTCATATGGTAGGAGTTTGGGGGTAAGACCTCTGTGGAGCCAGGAGCTGGACTCGATGATCCCTGTGGGTCCCTTCCAACTCGGGATATTCTATGATTTTGTGATTCTGTGCCTTCTTCCATGGAGGAAGGTGGAGGGGGCCTGCAGCAAATGTGACTAACTACACAGAGATTTAGGGTTCAGACACCCCATATTCTCAGCCCCCCATATTATACAAGCCATGACAGAAGCTCTGAGGGGAAGAGAGGAGACCAGGGGGTGCTGCAAGGAAGGTGCCTGCACTGCAGGGGAAGGCAGGGAGGGAGCAGCTCCCTCTCACTGCCTGCCCATGTCCCTGCTGCCTGCAGTTGTCCCTGCCAGCAGCTCTTTCTCTGTCCCCACGGCTCCTCCCGTCAATGCTCACAGACCCCATTCCACCCGCTGTGTGCCAAGCTCAGCCCTGCAGACAGCTGCCGGGGATGAGGACAACTCTGGGGAGATCTCCCTGTCTGCAGGTCCTTAATGAAAATCTCAGCAAAGCCCTGGTGCAGTGTGTAAGCAGAGAGAACTGAAGGGATAGTCTCGGGTTCATCACTAACCTGTTTATGTCTTATTCAAATGCAACAGGAAGCTCCATTGCCTGGGCAAACCCAGCCACTCTGTTAATGCAGAGTCTGCCCCGCAATCATAGCAGGATGAGGCAGGCAGAGAGTGCAAAGTGCCTTCTCTTTGCAGGCAGACCCTGACCTGCTCATCTTCTGTCCAAGGCTGCCCTGCAGCATCTTCTCCTCCACACCGCACAAGCCACGAGAGGCATCCTGGCAGCTCCTGGCCAGGCAGAGACATTCCGCATACAGAAGCCCCTTCCAGGAACCTGTCCTGCATTGTCGTGTAGCCAGACACTTACCGTGGGCAGAGCTGTGAAGGTTTCTCCTGCACTGAGCTCTCCTCTGAACACAGCCTCCAGGCTGCCTGGAATCCCTTTCTGCCCGGGTGCCTGCGGTCAGAGCCCCCAGCCCTGCTGCGCTGTGCAGAGGAGCTGCTCCTGGGCACAGCTGTCTCTCTGCACCAGGGCCCTCTTGCCACGAGCTCTCTCTGTCCCAGGAGCCCGGCCAAGCTCAGCAGCACAGCACCAGACCAAGGCACTGCAATCACCCCTCTGGGGGCTTTGCTGATGAGCCCACAAACCTCAGGCACTCAGAGACAATGGAAGACATCTCTCCAGAAGTCCATGTCAGAGGCAAGTATCCTGCAGTGTTCCCCTGAGGGCCAGCACTGACACAGCCTCCCTTGGAGCTCGTTAGAGCAGAACCCTGGAGGCAGTGAGGACAAGGAGACAAAGGCAATGTGAAGGTGACACTGATGTGTAGACAAACTGGATGTGTGTCACCAAGCACAAGGGCCAGGCCTTGACCCTGAACCTGTGGGAAGGGAGATCCTTAGCAGTCACACCTTGCTCAGGGCTCTTTGTGGGGCAGTAGGAGATGGGGATGTGCATGGGCAAGTACAGGAGAATGGTACGACCCCTGCCTGCTTCATGGTTGGGGGTGAGGAGGCAATGAGGCCCTGGTTCTTCAATGATAAGCTGTCTCCTCATGGGCGTCAGTGGCAGAGATAACAGTCATAGATATGAACACAAAGACCCAGTCCTGTTGGGACTTTCAGCCTTGTCACAGCCCTCTTTCCTGTCTATACATGGCTTTGCTAGGGACTCCCAGACCTCCACATCTTTCCTTTTTGTCTGCAAACCATTATCTCTGTGGTGTCACAGCAGATCTGAGCTGAGTCTGATAACTCAGATCTTCTTGGTGGCCATGCTCCTCAGAAGGCAGCTCTGTAGGAAGCTGGCCTGGTTCCTCGTGAGCAGGCACCACTGCTCGTATGGCATCCCTCATGGTGCCCAGGCCCTCTCCTTCTGGCCACTACTCACTCGGCAGGGTCCCAGTCTGACCTGATGTGTGGGGTTTCTCTCCCTCTGGTACAGGACTGGGCTCTTCTCCATGTGAAAGTCAAGAGCTTTCTGACGTCAAAATCCTGCAGTTTCTCAAGGTTCACCCACAGTGATGCTCCATTCTATCAGCTGTTAATGTCAGCAGGCAGACAGTTCAACCTTCGTGTAATTGTGCTATATCTGACTAGACAGCAGCAGCAGCAAGAGTTGCAGGGAAATTTGGATAATTCAGGAGTAAGCAGCTAAATGGCATTGCAGCACAGTCACCCAAGGGCAGGGGATGGAAGGCTGCCAGGTTCCACATTTGCTGTGCTTTCTTCTCATGCATGCTGTCAGTTTGTCTGGAGCTGTGTCCTGAATGTTATATGGCTGTGCAGGTCAAAACTGGACGGGCCAAAGCCCAGCTGGAGCTCTATCCATCTATGATTGTCATAGACAATAAAATAAAAATAAAAATAAAAATACTTTAAATGATGGAAGATTAGGGAGAATCATCATGCTTTATTGGATTTTGGGGGGAAAACCTGGTGACAAGGAATGAGGCAAAGGCTGAGACACTTAATGCCTTCTTTGCCTCTGTTACTAGCAACAAAACCAATTCTTCCCCTGGATATTTCTTCCTCCTCATGGCCAGTGCCATCCTTCCAATGCACATTTTGTAGTACTTTTTTTTCTCTCCTGCTCTTTCCTACTACCACAGAATGCTCCATCAGGGTGGAAACCACTCCTGAAGTAGGCATCCCAACCCAGCAGGCTCCTTGCGGCCTCTCAGCCAACCAGACACAAGTCACCTCAGCAGCAGCTTCCAAGCCAGGGGCCTGCTGCTGGCCTTGCAGCTTCTTGGCTAGACACAGCCAAGCCTTGTGCCTGCTGCTGTGCAGTCATGGACTCAAGCAGAAGGGACAGGACAACCCATGTTGGGGCCTTCCTTCTGCCTGGGTCCTCGTGGGTCTGGAGGCAGAGGGGATCCCCTAGTCAGCATGCCAGGCAGGTGCCTTCTGCTGGCCTAGCGGGGCCACTGCCAGATGTCAGCCCAAAAGTGCAGCTCCCAGGGAGAAGCCAAGCGTGATCTGCCACCTCCAGACACAAGTGACTTCACAGTCCCTTTGAGTGACATGTTCCTGCTGCTGCCCTATCAAGTGCAGAGACAGAAGTGACCTCACAGTCCCTGCCACAGTCACATTCCTCCTGTTGGGGCAGGAGATCCTGAGGCAGAGCTCGCATCTCCCTAGTCCCTTAGGGACTAGGACTCACTTTTCTGGGTTAGAGATTAAACAGAGGTTTTTTGGGAACGTTTGGTGTTCTTCTGTGGTTAGGGTATAGGAAGCTACGTAGTTTATTTAGGTCTGCCAAGAAATCGAGGGATAAATAGAGCATTTTAATACTAGTGTCCACGGAAGGCATTTGGGTGACTAAGCCTCATCTCGGCAAGGAATGCAAGGAATAATAAGAAGAGATTCTAGAGATACATCACTCGGAAAAGAAAGGCCAAGGAGAGTGTACCCCCTGCGATGGATGAGAAGGGTGAACTGGTAATGACAGACATGGAGAAGGCTGAGGGACTCAACAACATCTTTGCCTCAGTCTTCCCTGCCAGTCAGGCTTCCCAAGTCTTTCATGTCCTTGAAGCCATAGATGGAGGCTGGAAGTGCAAAGTCCCACCCACTCTAAGTGAAGAGCAGGTTTGAGACCACCCGATAGAACTCAACAAGTACAAGTCTATGGCACCTGATGACTTGCATCCCATCGTCCTGAGGGAACTGGTTGATACAGTTGGCAAGCCTCTCTCCATCGTATTTGAAGAGTCCTGTCAGTTGGGTGAAGTCCCTGGTGGCTTGAAAAAGGGAAATATCACTCCCATTTTTAAAAAGGGTAGAAAGGATAACCCAGGGAACTACTGACTGGTGAGCCTCAGCTCTGTGCCTGAAAAGATCATGGAAAAGATCCTCCTGGAATCAGAGTCAAGGCACAAAGAGGTGATCCGAGACAACAAGAATGGCTTCACCAAAGGGTAAATAGTGCCTGGCCAATCTGGTGGCTTTCTACAATGGAGTGACCACATCAGACAACAAGGGAAAACCAACCGATGTCATCTAACTGGACCATTGTCATGGTCCCACATGACATCCTGGTCTCCAAATTAGAGAGATACAGATTTGATGGGTGCACCATTCAGTGGAAAGGAGTTGGCTTAAAGGTCACACCCAGAGAGTGGTGCTCAATGGTTCTATGTCCAAGTGGAGGCTGGTGATGTCTTGTACCTCCGGGGTCTGTCCTCAGACCCATATGGTTTAATATGTTTATTAGTGACATAGACAGTGGGGTCGAGTGCACCCTCAGCAAGTGTGCAGATGACAGCAAGCTGAGAGATGTAGTTGATGCAACAGAGGAAGGGATTCCTGTGCAAAGGGCCCTGGGCAACCTGTTCTCA